TAAACCCTAAAAACCCAACTACGAGCTTTTTAACTGCAACAACTTTAATATCCGCTATTGGAGCTGAAATTACCGCGGCTGCTGGCACCAGACTTGCCCTCCAATTGTTCCTCGTTAAGGGGTTTAAATTGTACTCATTACAATTACAAGGCTTTTAAAAGTACTGTATTGTTATTTTTTGTCACTACCTCCCTGTGTCAGGATTGGGTAATTTGCGCGCCTGCTGCCTTCCTTGGAAGTGGTAGCCGTTTCTCAGGCTCCCTCTCCGGAATCGAACCCTAATTCTCCGTTACCCGTTGTAACCATGGTAAGCCAATACCTTACTACCATCGAAAGTTGATAGGGTAGAAATTTGAATGAAACGTCGCCGGCACAAGGCCATGCGATCCGAAAAGTTATTATGAATCACCAAGAAACCGCCGAAGCGCATTGGTTTTGCATCTAATAAATACAGCCCTTCCGAAGTCGGGTTTTTTCGTATGTATTAGCTCTAGAATTACCACGGTTATCCAAGTAGTAGATATTATCAAATAAACTATAACTGATTTAATGAGCCATTCGCAGTTTCACAATATAAATATTTATACTTAAGACATGCATGGCTTAATCTTTGAGACAAGCATATGACTACTGGCAGGATCAACCAGGTAGCTATCTTAGATACAATTCATGTTTACAGAATCTACTGCAAATTCTCACTTCCACCACCATGCACAATTACATAGCCGTTTCATTTAAAACTATACAATATCTCCTACAATCATAAATTGCATATTCCACCACATGGGTGAAAAGGTAATTTAGCACAAATTGTTGTCATACAAACCCGTCACGAATGGCAGATTATATGGTAATTGTCTACACCTGATGAGTACAATACTCATCAGAGTAAACAATATACACAAGTTTGCTGTACCTAAAATTTCTCCTACGTTAAACATTCCAAACATAGTCAATTATATACTGCTTTCAGTCTAATTTGATTATTTGAAAACTTTAACATTTCCTACATGTTGATATACAATGACCGACGTAATCTAATCAAAGTAAACCTACATGCAAATCGGTGAAAAGTAGAATTATGCATTGCAAAGCAATACACATGTATTCTTCGGCGCTGCTCTCAACCTTGGAAGTTGGTATGCCTATACTGTATATAATTCAGGCAAGGAGCCTGACAAAGACGGCATCGACCATTTGACACTCTATGCCCAAGAGGACTACAATTCCGGCTATATTGCCGGCTATATTTCGACTATCGTTCCGGTTTTCTCCCAGCGATCTTACAGCGATCTTTCCGGCTATCTCTCCAAGGAAAAAGACAATGTCAGCGACACTCAGTGAGATAATGAATATGGCTGGGTTGTGCATCAGCCAGGAGGCAGCGTTATATCGGCGTCTACGCCGCCATAGCCAGTCCTCAATGAATTCGAGTAAAAGCAATATCAATGGTATTCACAAAATGGAATCGTCGGTGTAAATTGATATGGGCAGCTATTCGTGGTCGCAACATTTCGAGATCGATGCTTCCCATTGCGGGAACTAAGTGCATAACCTTCCTACAAACACTCCGTGGAGAGCAACGGTACGCAGGTCTAGTACATCCATGCAAACTTGAACCTGACGTCAGCAAATAGTTCAACCATTGTGAAAGGCTCGACTCTGTTCAGCGAGGATAATAAAAACGTGCACGACTCTTGCTCGGAGCAAGCATTGTA